TGGAAGGCGATGGCACACGGGGCCTCCTCCCGTGACGTGAAGTCGTACAACTAGAGGGTGGGGCCACGTGAGGACAGATAGGGTAGGGAGACCAGCTAGCCACAAGGCCTGAGAGTTAGTCTTTCTCCCAGTAGCCTGAACCTTCACTCCCCAACACAGGCAGGACCCTGGGCCCCACCCACCAGGCCTCAGCTTAGTCTCACGTGGACTGTGGCCCTCTAGTCCCTCCCTCCTGGCCAACTCCCCTCCCATCACACCCTACCTGCTGCAGGGTCGCCAGATCCCAGATGCGGACAGTGTGGTCCTGGGACACAGTGGCCAGCTGTCCCCGGCTGCAGTCAGTGGCCAGGGCCACCACCAGGGCAGCATGGGACCGTACCAGCACACTGTACTCCTGGGAATGGACATCTAGGAAGCCCAGGTGGCCCAAGGAAGTGGCGGACAGCACACGCAGGCCATTAGGGCTGACGAGGACGGAGCTGATGGGGCCCTCATGCTCTGTGGGCAGGATGGGCCAGTGACCACCCAGGCCTGAAGTGGGGTGGGCTTGGCACCGGGGCCAACTTGGGCAGGCTAACCACATCCAGGCTGCACCCCCTCCCAGGACACAGACGAACCTCTTTTCCTGCTGTCTGGAGCCCTGTCTCCCTGTGGGTTGGGACAGGCAGCTCCCCCATGACCACCCACTCCTAGGCTCAGCAACAGTGGACCCCAGGCTCAGGATGTGGCCCCTTTGAGCCCCACATATTGCCATCCAGCCCAGAGACACTGCCCTCCTATGGCAACCCAGGTGGCAATGTGTTACCACAGCCCCACCTGCCTCCAAGAGCACAGAAGAGAAGTCCAGGGGCCAGAGGCGCAGGTAGCCATCCTCGGAGCCCACGGCACACATGGCCTGGGAGACACTGAGGCTGGTAATGGCGATGCCAGGGCCTGGGGTGTGGGGATACAGGGTCAGCCCAAAGCATCAGGGCTGTTCCCCCAAACACAGTGGGGCCCACCTACCTGAACTGAAGGTCTGCTTCTGTGGAAGGGGGCCACCAGGGGTCTGCATGGGCAGGAGGCGGTGAGCATGCCGCACGGCCATGTGCTGGTGGTCAATCTCTAGGATGTGGCCACTGCGGCTACACACATAGCTGTTTGGAGAGGTAACAGGTGAGAGCTAACAAGGCAGGAAGGAGCAGGACCCCACCTGGCTGGTTAGGGGAGGGAGGGCAGTGCTCACAGTGTGTGGCCGTCCTGGGCCTGCCTAAAGGCCAGGTCAGTGAACTCCAGTGCATGGTGCTCCCCCAGGTCCACAGGGCAGGAGCGCAGCTCCCCGCCTCGCAGCCGCCACAGCCGCACACTGCCCCGGCCGCACGATGCCATCCTGCAAGGGGTGAGAGGGTGAGTCAGGTAGAAGGGGAGGGCTCATGACTTGGCCCATCCCAGCACCAAGGGTAGGCAGGTGGGCAGCTGGTCACCTGGTTTCATCAAAAAAGGCAACCTCAAATGCCTGGATGTCAACATCGGTGTGTGCCTTCGCGAGAATGACAGCCTCTCCACCTCGCCCCACCTGGTCTGTGGCCCACGCCACCACCATCTGCAACAGGCCCACGTTGAGCACCCACTCACTTGTCCGCCTCCCTGTCTGGCCTCTCCCTACAAAGCTGGCCCGAGCCTTCAAGGAGCAGGGTGTAAGGAAGTCAGCCCCCACAGCCTGGAGGAACTTTACATGTGCCCACCCCAGGCTCCCACAGACACATCTGCAGAAACGAGAAGAAGATGCCAACCACAAGTAGAAAAGAAGCCCTGGGTGAGACACCCAACTTCAGAGAAGCTGACACATATAACACGGCTGTCTCAGGCCTGCAGAACCAGCCACCAAAGAGGGTGAGGTGAGTCATTAAAAGGTTCGCTCCGTCCAGGAGGGAATAAAAACCGAGAAACTCCAAAGGATGTGTGGGGCAGGGGTGCCCAGTGGGGCTGGGGGAGGTCAGCGGGGGATGCTTGTTCCCTAAGCAGTTTGGACTCAGCTTGTACCCTGGAACAGGCGGCTCCACCTCCCTGGCCCGGCCCCAGTACCGTCCGCCCATGGCGGTCCTTGCCGATGCCACAGAGCTGCGCCCCGCTGTCCGAGAAGCTGCAGACACAGAGGAAGTGGTCAGTGTTGTTGGGGCCGGCCCCCACCCGCCTTGGAGGCCCTGCACCCACCTGAGGGAGGAGATGGTGAGGACTGGGCTCTGGAACAGGGACAGGCACTCCCCAGTCTGGAAGTCCCAAAGGCGCAGCATGCTGGCGGGCCGCGCCTGGGCTGAGGCCAGCAGTAAGCTGCTCCCATCCAGGGCCAGGGCAGAGACCTGGCGAGGCAGCAGGTTTGGGGAGGGCACATGCCTGCAGATGCTAGCCACCCTTGGGCTGGGGCGGGTGGGAGGTGTGCCCACCTTGTCTGTGTGGCCAAGGAAGAGACGCTGCTCCCGGGTGTTGACATGCAGGATGACAATGACCGCATGGCAAGGGTACACGACAGCAGCCCCATCCCGGGTCCACAGGGCCTGCATACATAGGCCAGAGGCTGAGGTCACAGGCTGGCTGGCCTCATCCCCCTACCTCTGCATTCCTCCAAGTCATACACACAGGAGTCAACGGGATGCACACGTGTGTGCACGTTTAGAGCTTCCTCTTAGCCCTGTTTGCAACATGAGAAATTTTGGGGTGCAGGTAACAAAAGGCCAGAGAGCCTACAAAGACTGAAAGCCCACATCCAGGAGGGCCTGCTGCCCCCGCAGGGACCTGCAAGTCTCACCCACACCTGAGCCCACATGGCTGGTCTGGATCCTGGCTGGATAACACGCACCAAAGCTTGAAAGGACGTACGAGAGCTCTCAGGTCTCTGGAAGCTCAAGCATTTGGACCAGCACTGACTCAGTGTTTACAACACAAGGGAACAGATGCCTGCAACTGGAAGTCATCACACTGAGGAAGCACTGAGCATGTACAGATCTGGGCAGGGATGGGCGTCCACAGCAATGAAGGGAGCCAACACCTGGGGGAACTCAGACGTCCAGTGGGGGTCTTCCCACTGCCCCTCTGCATGTCTGACACTTGTAGGACCCAACAGGAGCACGGGACCCCTCACCCATTTGGTGCTGTAACCTCCAAAGCCGATGACCCCCTTGAGCCTCAGAACTGGATCTGGCAGGAAGCTCTGAAAGAGGTAAACTCACAGTTAGACCCCATGTAGCAAGACCCCTGTCTCACCAAGGCTGCTCCACCCAGAGCTGCTTCCTCCCTCCCAAGAAAGCCACTAGGTCCTGGTGGCATCTGCCAGCTGCTCTGTGGCAGGAAGCCAAGATGCCAGCCACAGTGCCAGACCCTCTAGTACCCAGGGTCCTGCCCCAGCCTAGAGCCTGAGATGCCCCCCACAGACCACCTCCTTACTCTTTGTTGAAAGCGATTCTTGCCCACAGCCACCTCTTGTTGGTTCTGCTTTCTGCCAAGAAACTGAATGAGAAGCAACTGTCACAAGAAACTATCTGGCCCACGCATATTCTGGGTACGCTAGGGCCCAGCAGCTCACTATCCATACATCATCAAATCCCCACCCCCTTGAAGGCACAGCCCAGCCCCCACCTTCCTTAGGACAGGCACCTCACCTCTTGTGAGGTTGTATGTTCTGGGGCTGCAGGCTCCACAGCAGGCTTATGAGCAGATATGTGAACACTGTCGCCAGCTGCATGTTTGTCAACCCAGGGGAAGGGCTCTTGGCAATGGCCACTAGGGCCACCCACACTGGAGACCACTGAGCACTCACAGGACAGGGTGACTTCTGGAAGGGGTCTGGGTGCCGAAGGGGCCCAGCGGGACTGCAGAGAGAAAGGTGCCTGTCAGCACCCTGGGGGCATCACCCCTTGCCACATCTCCCAAGGCAAAGGGTACTCACGGCTGTAGGGCCAAGCTTCTGGACCTTGAAGGACACACTGTCCTGTACTTGCTTGCTGAAGGCCACCGGATGAGGAAGAAGCTGCGGCACATGCCCCGGTAAGACTACAATGCAGAAGAGACCGCAAAGCTCACTGAGGAGAGTGCAGACAGGCCTGCGAGAATGGGGCCACAAGGCACTGGGAAGGAAGGCAGCAGTGGGCCACAGCCTTGCCCACTTGCAAGAGGAAAGCCACATCAACTGCTGTAGCCCACCACCCTACCCTGGGCCCCAGCACCCCTTCCCAGATGGAAAGTTTGAGGCCACTAGGTGCCCTAATCAGACCCTCCCACACTGCTCTGGGACTTTGGGACAGCCTCCCTTGCAAGCACCACTCTGCTGAGTTCACCTCCCCAGATGCAGCATCAGGCCTCCCTCTCCCACTGAGCTCCATGGGCCCTGCAGGCCTGAACCTAGGTCCCCAGTGGCCCCACAGGCCCACCTGCCTCAGGAAGGGAACAGCTCTTCTGAACCGGTTCGGAGAATGGTTCTGAGCTGTCACTTGGAAACCTTGGCAGGGTGGAGGGAGAGTCAGTTCCCAGGGACCACCCTGCCCTCCCTGCACCCAGCCTCCCTCAGAACAAGCAGAGCCGCTCACCGGATGTGAATGTAGTGGTCATGCCACCTCTCCCCTTTTGGCACTGGGAATGCCATTTCTCGAGGTACAGGGGTGACAGGCAGCTTTGCCCTCCGGGCTTCAGCAATGGTGACAGCTACGAAAAGTGGAGTTTTTCCAGGTCCAGGGAAGCCCACCCAGCTCACTTTCCCAGCCCAGGCAAGACTCGACACCGGGTGCTGGCAGGGTATTGCTCAGCCACCGGCCCAGCCACCACCTTCCTCAATGGGTGCCTCGGGAGCTAGGAGGCTCCAAGGTGGTATTTCATCAAGTATCAGGGATGTGGACCCCTTCTGGGCTGAGAACCTGGGGGGAAGGAGGGTGGGGAGGCCAACATACAGAGAGTCACTGGAGCAGGCGGGTGGCAGGCTAAACACAGGGCGTGGAGGGTAGCCCGTACCTGGGTCAAAGCACAGGTCACTGGTGTAGAGGTTCCTAACTAGCAGGTTGGCACACAGCCTGATGCTCTTGAGGTGACTGTAGCACCGGTTCAGGTAGACCAGGAGGATGTCATGCAGGTCGAGCTGCAGGCAGGTCCAGCGGGTACCGGCAGGGATCATACCTGCCAGGTCTACAGGACACAAACCGAGGTCAGCGTCTACTCTTTCACCAGCCAGCCCACAGCACTCTCTGTCCTTGGCCTGGCCCTACGTCTATGGCCACAGCCACCTGCCCCCCAACCCAGGCTGCCCCTGGCCATTCAAGAGGGAGCCTGCCCCACCGCCCCCTGGGCTTTCTAGCTGCCTGTCTCAGACCGTCTGTGTCCCATTCATGCCCTATCGGTGTATTACCTTTCCTGGACCTCCCAGCCTCAAAGATAAAAGGGAACTGAAGCCACGTGGCTGTTGATTTGAATTCTTTGAAGAGATTGGAGAAGGACACTCGGATGACCTGACTGTCCTGTGGGGACACAATACAGCCGTGAAAAGTTGAGGCAACAGTAGTGCAGGGTCCCCAGAGGCAGCCCCTGCTCCCCAGCTTAGCACCTCAGTGGACACATCCAGGTGAATGATGAAGTGCTTGGTGGGCAAGGGCCGAAAGAGCACGTACAGGTATCGTCCTGTCAGCCCCAGTGACTGAGTGCTGGTTTTGGGGAGCTGGATGTAATTGCCAGCAGAAACAGAGCCCCGAACTCGATACACGGTGCACTTCAGGGTCTTGTCCTGGAGAGAGACATGAGAGGCGCGGTGTCCCGAAGAGACCTAGGGAGCGCCAGGGGAGATGCAGCAAAGCGTCCCAGGAGAGGAGGCCTCCGGCTCCCGCTGCCAGGTGTCCTGGCCCACATACCGTCACGGGCGCCACGTCGCCCTCCTTAGTGGACCGCTTCCACTCATCCACCTTGAAGTGTCTGAAGACGTTGAGGAACGGGTGCTGCCACGCTGGGGGATACGGAGACATGACGACCTGCTCCCAGGTGCCAGACCCATCAAGGGACCAGGGAGGGGCTGGGGCAGGGTCTGCGCGCTCCCCAGCGATGACAGCAAGCACAGCGCGCGTACTGGGCTCCGCACAAGTCTCTGCACCAGCCTGTCCGCGGCAGCGCCGGACCTCGGACCCTAGACCCCGGCCCCCAGCCCGCCAGCCGCGCGCCGTTACCTCGCGCCATGGCGCCGCCGCTCGCGCTTCCCGCCTCTGACGCCGCGCTCCCGACGCAAAGCACGCAGCGTGCGCCTAGCAACGGCCGCCTAGCAACGGCGCCACTTCTGCCGTCACGGCGCAGGGCACGTGACCGCGCCTCAGGGGCGGGGCCTGGCGCGTGACCCGACGGGACAGGGTGACACGTGACCGCGCGGCGGCGAAGGGGGGGGGGTTGGCTTGGCACGTGACCGCAGCGGGGCTGGACCGGACACGTGACTACGCAGCGGGCGGAACATCCTCCTCACCTGCAGCCTCCCGGGACGCCCCAGGACCTTGGCAGGCCACTACCTCTCCGCTACCGGAAGGTGCCTCTGCCGCCTGGCCTCTGCAGCCAGTCCCAAGCCGGGACCCCGTGGGGAGGCTCCTGCACGACCCGCTGTGGGACCCAGAGACGTTCCTAACTCTCTGTGGGGCCCATCTTTATATTGGGAATGAGACGCACTCCAAAAACTGTGGGCTGCGCTTGGCAGGGGTCGTTCCACACCTACCCTGTTTCCTAGCTCTCTATAGGCAGCGTCCACAATAGGGGTACTAACACTTCATCCTGTGTCAACCGCACCCAAAGGTCACCTTGCCCCCCAGGCAAAGCAGTATCCCACAGGACCCCAAGGGCTCCCTCCCAACCTGCGGGACAGCTTCACCCACTGTCCCACAGCCAGACCTGGGGGATTCAGAGTCAGCACCAGGCATTTCTGAGACCTGGCCCCCATCCTGGGTAACTAGGACCCCATCCCAGGACCAGTTATGTAACATCTCTCCCATCTTGAGGCCAGGTTCAGACACTTGCCAATGCCAACAAGAGGAGGAAGGGGAAGTGGGTGTCAGGTGGGGCAGGGTGGTGTCCACAGGCTTCCATACAAAATGACCTGGTCCAGAACACAGGAGGTCTGGGTAAGAGGCCAAAGGCCAGAGTTGGACAAAACTTAAGCCTTGGGGAGATGAGGCCTCAAGGGAAGTTTGGGCTGGACCTGGTACTGGGACACAATGGGCCTCCCATCCCCCCTACCAAGTAAAGGTTTCTCCCTAAGGGCAGTTTCTTAACTTTATTAGCCTGGAGCTCCTCCCCACCAGCCCCACGGGCTGGTCCCCGGGCACAGTGAGCAGGACTGAGGTCAGTCAGGTTCAGCCCCTGGTCCCTGGCAGCCTGGAACAGCTGGGCCAAGGGGTCAGCAAGTGCAAAAGTCCAAATGCTGGCACTTCAGGTGTGGCTGGCGCCTGGCCAGGCCCAGAGTGAAGCACGGCCTGCCGCCGTGGGTAGACAGGGCACCGTGGTCCTCTCCTGGCAGAGGGTCCAGCGTGGGGCAGGGCCAGGCCCTGCACAGGCAGCATTCCTTCTGAGGCTGCGACTAGGAACAGTTGGTGATTCTGGCCAGGAACTGCTGTGCCCACCACTCATCCAGGTCAATGGGCACGAAGTCTGTGGGAGAGTAAAAGGCTGGGTGGTGATGCACCTCCCAGACCACCAGCATCCCTCCAGCCCCACCCTCTTGAGCTGACCACAGGTACATCCCCCAGACCACAAATGTAGCAGACACTGGGAAGAATCAGGTCAGGCTCTAGTCCTCTTCCCGATCCCCTGGGATTAAAGCCTGGCTGAGCCCAGGTCAGGGTTGGAGGAGGTGGAGGGGACTCCCTGAGGACGGGGGAGGGCTCACTCTGCAGTCGGGGGTTGGGAGTCTTCTCCACATACTGCACAGGCCTCGGCCCACTCTCACCGGCTGGGCCACCACCCAGCTGCTGCTCCACTTGCTGCCAGGCTGTGGGGAGAAGATGGTCAGGCTGAGCCAGGCCCCTGGCACCCTGTCTCCCGCCCCAGGGCCTGGTGGCCACCCTGGACCCCAGCCCAGAACTGGGAGTGGGCAGCCTGCTGGGTAGATAAACAGGCCAACAGCCTAGGAACAGCCCAGCTCTCTGGCCACTTCGAGTCAGGTTACAGTGGGAAGAGGACGAGTAGTCCAGGCCACAGCCTCGGACCTCAACACTACCTTCGGACACAAACCGGACGTTCTCCTCGTGGGCCAGTGTGTAGGTCTCCTGGGTACCCTCGAGGGATGGGGATGTGGCAGGGGGCCGCCGGCCATTCACCCGATTGAACACAAGCCTCGGCCCTGGACTGCAGGAAGGGGGAGGAGACGGTCAGCAACTGTTCCAAGCCAGGTGCTACCTGGCAGAGCTCCGGGAGAAGCCTCAGGCCACACCCACCACCCCTTGGCCAAGCTCAACCTGGGCACTTCCCTGAACCCCAGGGAAGCTACATGCACAGACAGTAGCCCAGGCCTTTCCCCTGCAAGCCTGTGCCCCCAGCAGCTCGGCTCATACCTGCAGCCCCCAGCCCTGAGGCAGGCCCAAGACTGCAGGTGAGGGTGCGGGGAGCTCTGTGTCCCAGATCCCTAGCAGAGTTCTGGACTCAAGGCACACTAGGGCTGGCCTCCCAAGGGTCTCTCAGGAACCCCCCATGGCCACTTGCCTCCCCACCTTCCCCCGTGGACCAGCCCGACCGGCCCCCCGAGCAGCCCAGGTTCTGCCCTGACG